TCTCTTCTAATCCTGCTTCCTCACCTGCAAAATCTCAAGGTAATAGTGAGGAGCAGATGATACAAGGACTGATTGTAATTGGCCAGGGACTAGCTTCATGTAAGGGAACTTTGCTACAGTTTATAAAGGTGAGGTCTTCTTCTTCCCTGCTCTCCGTAGGCTGCTGTGGGCCAGATGCAGCCAAGGAAACCAACAATGTACTCTGGCAGCCATGATGTAGAGAATCTCATCTTGTCCTCTGAGCTGAAGCATTTGATCTGATATAGAGATGCTTTCTTTTTTCTCTCCTCTCAAAGTCGCATAATGAGAGATCCCTGGTTTTGTGATAAGTGTTGCTATTGTGATTAGGCTTTGTGGAATGGGGGCTTCCCTGGTGGCTCAGGTGGTAAAGAATCTGCCTGCCAAGCAGGAGACCCAGGTTTGATCCCTGGGTTGGGAAGATTCCCCTGGAGGAGGGAATGGCAACCCACGCCACTATTCTTGCCTGGAGAATTCCATGGACAGAGGAGCCTGGCAGGCTATAGTCCATGGGGTCAAAAAGAGTTGGACATGACTGAGCGACTAACACTTTTTGTGGAATGCGTGGACCTCAGAACAGGTTCCTTTTTATTGGCATAGTGTGAATACAAAGCAAGGAGGACAGAACAGGAAGACGGCTATTATGGTTGATAACAATGTTCTTTGGAAAAGTGATTTTGGAACAGTTGGGAAATGGATGGCACACTCTCTGATTATGAGACTGACTTCAGCAGGTTGTATCATGAAGGGAGACTGTGGCTTTCAACCATTGTGGGGTTCCGGGAAAGCCAAGGAGATAAAAAAAAATCCACCAGAAGAAAATGTCCATGAAACCCTTAATGCTAGCTTAGCTAAAACTCGTTCCTTGGAACATTTTACTCTTGTACTTGCCATGAACATAAGCCTGCTTTCAGAGATCTGAGGTTCCATAAATATTTGGACCACGCCATGAGCTCTGATTTAGGCCTTTCAGAGAAGATCTCTAACTAAAAATAGAAAGCTGAGGCAGGAAAAAATCATGTCTTTCAGAGAGGTCAGCACATCTGTGAAGTGTTTTGCTATGCTAGGCTGTGGTCTCTGGTTTCACGGGAACATTGTCAGTGTTGGTGCGTCCAGAGCAAATGGAGCAAATAGCCTTGTATTCTCTCTCACAGTGAGCTTCCTCCTAGGGTGGATGGCAGAGGGCTGTGTTTTCAGACTGTGTTCTCTGGAGTGTCCTTTTCAGAGGTGGAATCTCTTGTCTCGCTGACAGCTTTGTCTCTTTGTAAACATAAGGACAAGAAATTCCTACCTGACCTTTATGCTTCCTCTAATGATGTCATCCGGTTGTGCAGAGTTGAAAACACATCTTCCTTTTGACTTTCTTCTTCCTTATCTTTTTCTTCCAGTCAATGACCAAGTCCTCTTGATTCTACTTTATTTTTTGTTCAGTCACTAAGTCATGTTCGACTCTTTGCAACCCCATGAACTTCAGCATACCAGCCTTCCCTGCCCTTCATTATCTCCCGGAGCTTGCTCAAACTCATATCCATTGAGTCAGTGATGCTATCCAACCATGTCATCCTCTGTCACCCCCTTCTCCTCCTGCCTTCAGTCTTTCTCATCATCAAGGTCTTTTCCAATGAGTCAGCCCTTCACATCAGATTGCCAAAGTATTGGAGCTTCAGCTTCAGCATCAGTCCTTCCAATGAATATTCAGATTTAACTTCCTTTAAGATTGATGGGTTTGATCTCCTTGCTGTCCAAGGGACTCTCAAATCTTCTCCAGCACTACAGTTCAAAAGCATCAATTCTTTGGCGATCAGCTTTCTTTATGGTCCAGCTCTCATATCCATACACGACTACTGGAAAAACCATAGCTTTGACTATATGGCCCTTTGTTGGCAAAGTGATATCTCTGCTTCTTAATACTCTGTCTAGGTTTATCATAGCTTTTCTTGAAAGAAGCCAGTGTCTTTTAATATTGTGGCTATGGTCACCATCTGCAGTGATTTTGTAGCCCAGGAAAATAAAATCTGTCACTGTTTCCACTTTTTACCCTTCTATTTGCCATGAAGTGATGGGACTGAATGCTATGATCTTAGTTTTTTGAATGTTGAGTTTTAAGTCAGCTTTTTTACTCACCTCGTTCACCTTCATCAAGAGGCTGTTTAGTTCCTCGTCACTCTCTGCCATTAAAGTCGTATCATCTGCATGTCTGTGGTTATTGATATTTCTCTTGGCAATCTTGATTCCAGTTTGTGAGTCATCTAGCCTAGCATTTTGTATGATGTATTCTGTATATAAGTTAAATAAGCAGAGTGACAATATACAGCATTGATATGCTCCTTTCCCAATTTTGAACTAGTCCATTGTTCCTTGTCCAGTTCTAACTGTTCCTTCTTGTCCCGCATACAAGTTTCGCAGGAGGGCAGGTAAGGTGATCTGGTATTCCCATCTCTTTAAGAATTTTCCAGTTTGTTGTGATCCACACAGTCAAAGGCTTTAGCATAGTAAATGAAGCAGAAGTAGATGTTTTTTTGGATTCCTTTGCTTTTTCTATGATCCAGTGGATGTTGGCAATTTGACCTCTGATTCCTCTTGCCTTTTCTAATCCTGCTTGAACATCTGGAAGTTCTATGTTCACATACTGCTGAAGCCTAGCTTGGAGAATTTTGAGCATTACCTTGCTAGCATGTAAAATGAGTGCAGTTTATGGTAATTTGAACATTCTTTGGCATTGCCTTTCTTTGGGATTGGAATGAAAACTGACCTTTTTCCAGTTCTGTGGCCACTGCTGAGTTTTCCAAATTTGCTGGCCTATTGAGTGGAGCCCTTTCACAGCTATAAACTTCTTAAATTTGTCACCTCCTCTTTGTACACACCACTGCTGTCTAAATTTGCATCCTCTCACCTGTTCTGTTGTAACCCTACCTCCTTAGCCCCAGTCATTTCTGCCAACAGTCTTCTATCTTGCTGTCAGTGGGGTTTTTCTAAGTTATAGTCACAAATACAGCCATGTCTACTTATTGATTAAGGTGATTTAGCAGTCTTATCTATAGGATCAAATCCAGACCCTTTATTTTATTTTTTTTTAATATATTTTTTTGATATGGACCATTTTTAAAGTAAGTGAATTTTGTTACAGTATTGCTTCTCTTTTATGTTTTGTTTTTTCTTGCCACAAGGCATGTGGGATCTTAGCTCCTCAACCAGGGATCCAGCCTGCACAATCTGCATCAGAAGGTGAAGTCTTAGTCACTGGACCATCAGGGAAGTCCCATGTCTAGACTCTTTAGATTGATTCACAATTTTCCTCACAGTCTGACTTTATCCCCACCTTTTGATGCCCAATGTTGGGAATGTCCTTTGCTCTCATTGCTCAGCTCAGATTAAACCTTTAACATTTACTTGACTAGAACCTCTGCTATGAAGCTTCTCCAGACAGAGGTCATTGGTGGTTTCCCAGTTACCCCAAGGATGCTTGACTCACTTCAGTAATAATACTACCTACATTGGGTTATTGGATTATAATAAGGAAAAAAACCAGAAAGGGGTGGGAGGGATATGTGTGTAGTGGACATAGCATGGGCTTTGGAGTTTATCAATCTGTGTTTAAATCATGGCTTTACCATTTGCTTATCTTGTGATCTTGGACTTAATTTCTCTGAATGTTTATTTTCCTATATGCCTACTGTGTAGTATTGAAAGGATGAAATCACATGATATATGCAAAAATTTATTAGTATTTGGTTGGAATTCAGTACACGACAATCTCCTACCTTTCTTTGATTTGCATCATCAGCTCTGAGGAATCAGCATTGTATTGGATGATGGTCAAAACCTATTATTTTCTCTCTGAGAAACAGTTTTGGTACATCTTGGTTAGAGTCAAGACTAAAATAGCCTGTATATGCTGAGCCAGTATAGACTTGAGTATCAAAGATTGGGAGTGTGTAGGAGACTGTTTGTGAAGGGAGGAAGGAGATGGCAGAGGAGCATAGCTGTATCAGGAAACTGATACTGCAATTAACTTAAAAAGGTTTCCCTAAGTCACTTTCTTCCCTCGTGAATGTACCTGAAACCCCATCCCATGAAGTGTAACTGTATCTTTAAGATACTAATGGGACAAGGAGGTAAGTGTATCCTCTTGATTGCCCACATCCAAATATGGGGAATAGAGCTTTCCCTAAAATGAGTGAAACATGGGAGCGTAAGAGGAAACCTACATCTTTTGTAAGAGCTGATCTGAGCCCCGGTGATGTGTGGCTTATGTACGAGGTGCAGAGCAGAGAGCTGTTCCTAAGGGTGCTTGACCAAGCCCTAGGGACCAGGAGGGATGAGCTACAAGCCAGGCAGCAAATAGCCTGCCATGTCTGAACTGAGCATTTCCAAATGAAGAAGCCTCGTGCTTGAGGCTGGAGATGATTGTATTGCGTAAGTGATCTCAAATGCATTGCTTTTGGGGTATGGCATGATATTATGAATGCTTCAAAAATAGAGAAATAGGAATTGGAAATTCATAAAAATTATATGGCAGTCTTTTCAAAAAAATGGATATATAAACCCATTTAAAAAAAACCCAAAACCTATTTTATGTTGAATTTCTTCTAGTCAAAAGGGGATAGTGTATTCTTTTTTATTCTGTTTTCTGTTTTGCTTTCTTTTTTTTTTAATGGTATGTAGTCTTTCTTTTTTAATAAGATGACTTCTGTTTCATTTATTTATTTTTTCTGGTTGAGTCATGTGGGATCTCAGTTCCCCAACCAGGGATCTAATCTACACCCCCTGCGTTGGAGGCGTGGCGTCCCAACCCCTGGACCGCCAGGAAAGTCCCTCTGTTTTTGCTTTTAACGTAGCCCATCATCCTGGAAAGGGCAGATTAAAAATAAGCTTGGCACGGCTGCTCGGAACAGGGCTCATGCCGTCTTGTGTTCCTTCCAGGGCCAGCGTGAATTCCCTCGTCTCCCTTCCCAGCCAGCTCTCCACCGCCTGGATCCACCATGGTGTTTGGTGAGTTTTTCCATCGCCCTGGACCAGAGGAGGAACTTGTCAACTTGAACGTGGGGGGCTTTAAGCAGACGGTCGACCAGAGCACCCTCCTGCGCTTCCCTCACACCAGACTTGGGAAGCTGCTCAGCTGCCACTCAGAAGAGGCCATCCTGGAGCTGTGTGATGACTATAGCGTGGCCGATAAAGAGTACTACTTTGATCGCAACCCCTCGCTGTTCAGATACGTCTTGAACTTCTATTACACGGGGAAGCTGCACGTCATGGAGGAGCTGTGCGTGTTCTCATTCTGCCAGGAGATCGAGTACTGGGGCATCAACGAGCTCTTCCTGGATTCCTGCTGCAGTAATCGCTACCAGGAGCGCAAGGAGGAGAACCATGAGAAGGACTGGGACCAGAAGAGCAACGATGTGAGTACCGACTCCTCCTTCGAAGAGTCGTCTCTGTTTGAGAAGGAGCTGGAGAAGTTTGACAAGCTGCGATTTGGCCAGCTCCGGAAGAAGATCTGGATCCGGATGGAGAACCCAGCCTACTGCCTGTCGGCCAAGCTCATCGCCATCTCCTCCCTGAGTGTGGTGCTGGCCTCCATTGTGGCCATGTGCATCCACAGCATGTCGGAGTTCCAGAACGAGGACGGGGAGGTGGACGACCCCGTGCTGGAAGGCGTGGAGATCGCATGCATCGCCTGGTTCACGGGCGAGCTGGCCATCCGGCTGGTTACTGCTCCCTGTCAAAAGAAATTCTGGAAGAACCCTCTGAACATAATTGACTTTGTGTCCATCGTTCCCTTTTATGCCACATTGGCTGTAGACACCAAGGAGGAAGAGAGTGAGGACATAGAGAACATGGGCAAAGTGGTCCAGATCCTCAGGCTCATGAGGATTTTCCGAATTCTCAAGCTGGCCCGGCACTCGGTGGGACTTCGGTCTCTCGGTGCCACACTGAGGCATAGCTACCATGAGGTTGGCCTGCTGCTTCTCTTCCTGTCGGTGGGCATCTCTATCTTTTCTGTGCTTATCTACTCCGTGGAGAAAGACGACCACACCTCCAGCCTCACCAGCATCCCCGTCTGTTGGTGGTGGGCCACCATAAGCATGACGACCGTGGGCTATGGAGACACCCACCCGGTCACCTTGGTGGGAAAGCTGATCGCCAGCACGTGCATCATCTGTGGCATCTTGGTGGTGGCCCTTCCCATCACCATTATCTTCAACAAGTTCTCCAAGTACTACCAGAAGCAAAAGGACATCGATGTGGACCAGTGTAGTGAAGACCCACCAGAGAAGTGTCAGGAGCTCCCTTACTTTAATATTAGAGACATTTATGCCCAGCGGATGCACGCCTTCATCACCAGTCTCTCTTCAGTGGGAATCGTGGTGAGCGACCCTGACTCCACAGATGCTTCAAGCATTGAAGACAACGAGGATGTTTATAACACAGCATCCTTGGAGAATTGCCCCCCAACGTGAGCAGGGACCTTTGTGCCTGGACCTTGTGTCCCTTCCCGATGTTAGGTTAACACAGCTTTATCAACCTTAATGGGTTCGTTAAAATCATTTACTTCTCAGGGTGTACTCTTCAGCCATAGTTGGACATTTCATTGCTCTGAAATGATAGAAACGTCTTTATTTTTCTCAGTGAGGCGAATGAAATGCCTTGCTCTGAAATTTATTTTTTACAAGAAAGTTGTGATATGATTTTGATTTTGCAAAAAAATATTATGGTATATGGTATTGGGTGGGATTTCTTGCTGCGGCTTCTGTATCATTCTGTGTTTATCATTTACTCACATTGAGCTAACTAACAAGTAGAATCAAAGGCCCAGCTGGAGGCTACATGCATGTAAGATCCACAAAATGAGACAATGCATGTCAATCCATGTTCACATTCTAGACATGGACAATAGGAGCCTAATAAATTGCCTAATTCAGTACAGAGAATGTCTTGTTTTTATGTAAAGTAACTATATTTCAATACATTCACAATCGACGTGGGAGGGAAAATGCTCTTTTTAGCACATCAAGAGCCCTTTCTGAATATTTTTGGATTTTGGCTATACATCATCAGTGGGCTAGTTCTTCTGTTCAGTAGAGTTGGTGGAGGTTGGCAGGTGGAAGGGTCATGTTCATGATTAAACCACGCTTTGAAGTGTAACCTGATTATGCATGTATACGTTTAGGACATACTCAAATTGGTATATGTGCATGAAACATGTGCCCCTACAGATCTGTTTCCCATATTTATTTTCTAATTTTTAACTGCTAGAATAAAACCTCATCACCTGAAAATTGTGGAGCAGAGTAAACTTACACACTCATAGACAGAGATAACATTCAGTGACTGGAAGGAAAGAGAAATGCTGTGCAAACCGACAGATGTGACTCACTGTGGCCAGAGGAGTGAGACTTAAATCACTGAACATGGCTATGCCAGCAGCTGTGAAATGAGCCATCATTTAAAAATAGCCTAAGAGGCAGTCATGTCCACCTCTTATGTTTCTACTCTTCATAATGGGAGAAGACATATTAATACATACTCATTTCCACACCAGTGACAGCAGTTCTATACAGCGTGGAGTGAATGTAGCTAAAATCTTAATTTTGGAGATGTATGGCTTCCTGGCAGCTCAGATGGTAAAGAATCTGCCTGCAATGAGGGAGACCAGGGTTTGATCCCTGGGTTGGGAAGATCCCCTGGAGGAGGGCATGGCAACACACTCCAGTATTCTTGCCTGGAGAATCCCCATGGACAAAGGGGCCTGGTGGGCTACAGTCCATATGCAGTTGCAGAGTCAGACCCAACTGAGTAAGCACCATCAGTGGCGACTCTAACTCATGCTGTCAGACTGGGTTCTTTCCATGAGATCTTCTAAATGGAGGCGCTGCATGGATTTATGATCCAGCTTTTCAGGTTTGCAAATGCATTTTGTTGAAAGAAGCTTGTTCTCTCTAGGTTATCTGATGAAGGTAATTTTTTGACTCACCACTCCTGCTGTTTCCTTGACTTTTGAGATGGTTACAACTAACAGGGTTTATAGTCACTTTTAAATCTGGAGACTTCTTACATGTATGTGTGTCGTCTCCTGGGACTTCCCTGGTGGCTTAGTTGGTAAAGAATCCACCTGCAATGCAGAAGACCCGGGTTTGATCCCTGGGTTGGGAAGATCCCCTGGAGAAAAGAAAGGCTACTCACTCCAGTATCCTTGCCTGGAGAATTCCATGCACAGAGGAGCCTGGTGGGTGCATGGGGCCTGCCCATTTGAAGAAATGTTTCTTTTTCCCCAAATGCCTTTGATATTGGCATAATTATGTTGACTTCGAGGCATGGCAATAGGATTTGGAACCCAGTTTTATTTAAGACTTCCCAAATAGTAATGAAGTAATTGAAGACTGCTTAAATAGTAGTAATAGTAGCAGGGAAAATGAAAGTGAAGTTGTTCAGTCATGTCTGACTCTTTGCGACCCCATGGATTACAGCCTAAGAGGATCCTATGTCCATGGGATTTTCCAGGCAAGAATACTGGAGTGGGTTGCCATTTCCTTCTCCAAGTAATAGCAGTAGTCATAGTAATAGCAATAGTAATGGTAATAAACAGCAATGGCAATAATAATAATAAGCTACTATGTAAAGGCTTTACCTGTATAATCTCATTTCTTCCTTACAACATTCCTAGCAGCAAGGTTTGATTTATGTTGGGTCTGGGGGATTGGGGAGAGCAGGGAGGGGTTAGGGAGTGAGTGTTTTAATAGGGACAGAATTTCAGTGTAGGAAAAGTTCAGGAGATGGGTGATGGTGACAATTACACAACCAAGTGAATGTGTTTAGTGCTACTGTACAGTTAAATGTGGTTAAAATAGTATATTTTCTGTTATGTGACTTTTACCACAATTAAAAAATGAGGACACAGGTCATAGGAAAATGGCTGTAGTTCTCATGGCAAGTAACAGACTTGGGCTCAGAGCCCTGGGAGCCAGATTCTGGAGCCTGTCCCTTGAACCCTGCACTGCACTGCCTCCTGCTGCGCTGGGTTCTGGAGTGGATTTAAGGATGCGTCAGGGCCATGTGCATCTGAAGAGGCAAAAAGCAACAAACTATGTCAGATGTTGATTTTTCCAGTACATGAGTAGAATGGGAAAATACTGGCATATGTACCTTCCTCCTGCCGACTCACAAAGCTGACACAATTGTTGACAGAGCAGGGTTTTCTAGAAGCTGGAGCAGCCTCTGAGGGTCCTTCTCTGATCCTGAGTGGCGGACGCAGTGGGAAACATGGTTCTATAAGAATCCAAAGCATCTCCCAATTCAGTTCAGTTCAGTTCAGTCGCTCAGTCATGTCCGACTCTTTGCGACCCCATGAATCGCAGCATGCCAGGCCTCCCTGTCCATCACCAACTCCCGGAGTTTACTCAAACTCATGTCCATCGAGTTGGTGATGCCATCCAGCCATCTCATCCTCTGTCGTCCCCTTCTCCTCCTGCTCCCAATCCCCCCCAGCATCAGGGTCTTTTCCAATGAATCAACTCTTCGCATGAGGTGGCCAAAGTACTGGAGTTTCAGCTTCAGCATCAGTCTTTCCAATGAACACCCAGGACTGATCTCTTTTAGGATGGACTGGTTGGATCTCCTTGCAATCCAAGGGACTCTCAAGAATCTTCTCCAACACCACAGTTTAAAAGCATCCATTTTTCAGCGCTCAGCTTTCTTCATGGTCCAACTCTCACATCCATACATGACCGCTGGAAAAACCATAGCCTTGACCAGACGGACCTTTGTTGGCAAAGTAATGTCTCTGCTTTTTAATATGCTATCTAGGTTGGTCATCACTTTCCTTCCAAGGAGTAAGCGTCTTTTAATTTCATGGCTGCAGTCACCATCCACAGTGATTTTGGAGCCCCCAAAAATGAAGTCTGACACTGTTTCTACTGTCTCCCCATCTATTTCCCATGAGGTGATGGGACCAGATGCCATGATCTTAGTTTTCTGAATGTTAAGCTTTAAGCCAACTTTTTCACTCTCCTCTTTAGTGGGTCCTTAAGAAGAGCTTTCTGGATCCTTTTACTCTTGAGTTCTTACAAGCTGTAAAGGACTTGTGTTTCTGCCTGTTGTTCAGTCGTTTGGTCATGTCTGACTCTGCGACCCCATGGACTGCAGCCTGCCAAGCCTCCCTGCCCCCTACCATCTCACAGAGTTCGCCCAAGTTCATGTCCATTGAATCGGTGACGCTATCCAGCCATCTCCACTGGTATCATGCGTTGATTCCTCGGGGTGGCTGGCCAGAGCACATGATGGCTTGTGGAGTGAGCAGTGGGCTTTGCCAGCTGGAACTCTCTCTCCCAGAGCCTCACCTCAGTCCCTGCTGTGCGCTTCAGGTGAAATTTGTGCCGCATCGTTAAGGCTGTAGCGACAGAGCTGCAGACTTCTTGTGTTTATGCCTCTCCCCGCTTTCCCGTGATGCACATGGGTCACCTGTTGGTCATCCCCACGTGGTGAGAAGGGGGTTCCTTCTTGAGGGAGGAGCTGAGTCAGTGGCTGAATGCCCACTGCATAGGAATTCTGGAGGTGGAGTGGGTGCTGAGGGCACAGGAGGAAGCCAGGCAAACTGCCCTAACCGGCATGGCTTGATCAGTCCCAGCCACTGGGGTTCATTCATTCCAGTGGGACCAGACAACCTCGCAGAATTTGGTCTTCTAGTTCTTTCAGACTGCCTGTCCCTGAGTTGATCAATCCTAGCCACTGGGGTTCATTCGTTCTAGTGGGATCAGACCACCTCGTGGAATTTTGTCTTCTCATTCTTTCAAACTCTTGTCCCTACTCTGTGGCCACTTCTTCCATTTCCTTGGATTTGTCGTATCATTCTCAACAGCATTTCCTATGTTGCTTTGGAATGTCCTTGGAGCACCCAAGGACCTATCCCACCAAGCATGGTTTCCTCCCTGCCAGTCCTTCTCCTTTGGAAATAGTTTTAGTTTCTTGTGTCACCACTCAGCATGACCTGAGTGCTTACTGGGGTGTGTGCTCAGGGCAGGCACTGAGAATGCAAGAATGAGACACAGTTATTGGCCTCAGGGAGTCTTTAAAAGGCTGATGAGAGATGGATAAATCCATTGACTTGTAGGTGTGTGTGTGTGTGAGAGAGAGAGAGAGAGAGAGAGAGAGAGAAGGAAGTCTTCCTGGAGAAGGTGACATCCTCTGTTGGGGATCATTGGTCTCAGATCGTGGTGAGTTCAGTTCAGTCTTAGGGATAAAAACTTCACTGACTGAGGACAGGTCCCAGTCACAGACAGGGATAATCTCTGCCTTCAGGGCTTCTTTCCCCATCCCTGCTGACCACCCCTCTTTAGTTAAAGGATCTTCTGCCTTTAGTTGTAATGATCCCCCTTCTTTTACTGTGGGGGTTTAGCGATGCCCATATAGGTTGACTTTGTGTCTTTGCTTGCTTGTCCTCTTTTTGGTTTGTTTGCTGTTGCCA